TTTTGGCTTGTGCACAGAACCCTTGATGTTACTTTGTTTCCATTAACTCATTTATTTTCTGTCTCCCAGGGAAAAGCCCCAGACTTTGACCCAAAGGTAAGAAGCTATTATTTGATTTGATTTGATATGTGGATCATTTGATGACAGCGTGTTTGTGCCATCTTTAGGAGTTTTGCTCAGACTGCCCTGCAGGACCACCGGGACCACCTGGACTCCCAGGAATCCCAGGAGATAAAGGACAACAGGGACCACCTGGGAAAAATGGAGAAGATGGATACCAAGTGGGTCAAAGTTATTAACATGTCATAATTAAAGTGAATGACCTCACTTCACTTCTCTTGCCTAAAGTCTATTATAATGTAACAGCACGTATTTAAGCACATTTTATAAAGTGTGTGTTTGCTGCCCTGTGTGAGTCATGAGGTCTGAGCCTCGCCATCCGTCACCTGCTGTGACGGATGGCGAGGCTCTGTCTGCATCATTAGCTTGGCCTCCTCTGGGGGGTAGCGGTGAACGATTAGCAACCAGCGACGGTGCTCGCCACCGTTGGCTCGGACAGAGACTGATGGTCTGCTGTGTCACTGCAGGGCCCGCCAGGACTAGCCGGACCTCCAGGGGCCCCCGGAGCCGATGGAGGAAAGGCATGTTTACTCACTTACTGCTAAACTTTTTAGCTGCTTCCATCAGTTTTGTTTGTTTTTTTTTACATCATTCAGATGTTAGGGAGATATTTTGAACTTTATTTTCTCAAGCCTAAAGTTTTTCCAACCAAATGCTTTTCTCTTTTTGTCACCACAGGGTGTAAAAGGTGATCGAGGACCTGCTGGAAACCCCGGAGACAAAGGGGACAAGGTGTGTTTTTCCACTGTGACATTTCCAACCTTCCTCTCGCTGTGTTTGAAGAAACATCCAATGTAAAGTCTTCAGCTTGATTTTAATGAGCATTATCTGTTTAATAGGGTCACCCGGGGCCTCCTGGTCATCCAGGTCCTCCTGGATTAATGGGTACACCTGTAAGTCGATGTTTCAGCCTTGTTTACAACATTGTCAGAATACGTGAAAAGTGAATATTGACCTCCACTGACATCGTCTCTTCCTCTTCAGGGTAACGATGGGTTGCCTGGGCCTGCGGGCCTCCCAGGACCCCCTGGAGAAAAGGTCAGTTAGCACCCTGTGTACTTTCCGCTCAGAGAACCCATTACCCATGTGTCATTATTGTACAACCCGCTTCCCTCTAGCGTGTAGGTCACCGTCCTGTGCCGTAATAATGGCTATTAATCATTTCTTTTTTGTTGGTGACCCGTTTTTGTGTTTGTTTTCACCAGGGCAAAGAGGGTCTCAAAGGAATCCAGGGACCACCAGGGCTTCCTGGCTTGATAGTAAGAAAAATCATGAGAATGTAAAGCATCATGAATATGCAGTTCCTGCTGGATGCTGTGATTGTTTTAGGCAGCAATATAAAACCATAAGTAGGCCTTTGGGTCTTTGACGTTGCAGATCCTAAATAATTGTTTTCCTTTGTCACAGGGGCAGCCTGGCAAAATGGGAAAAGATGGAAGACCAGGTGAACCAGGAGAACCTGTAAGTTGATGGAAATGACCCACAGAGCATAAAAAGTTTGACACTAACTGGAAGATATTGTCTGTATTTATTTATACACATTTGCTCACTCAAGGTGTTTCCTTTCAGGGCAAACAAGGTGAAACTGGACCCCCAGGAAACTCAGGGCTCAGGGGACTCCCTGTAAGTAGCCAGCAGTAGATCTGATAGAAGAACCTGGTGATATGCAAATTGCTGTGAGTGATTCGCTGCACCTTCTCTTTCTAACCAGGGCTTTAAAGGCCACAGAGGAGAACCTGGAGCTCCAGGAACTAAGGTTGGTTTGCTTTTAATGTATTTGAGCTGTTAAACAAGAATAATATGTTAGAGACATTACAAGAGAAAGAGAAGGCGTTATAGGTCAGTGTTAATGAATGATCAGGTACAAAGACTGAAATCATAATGATTAAAAAGCAGCCAATGACCAAAGGACAACGTCAAAATACCAGTTTAAAGACATCTGGCTTTTGAGAGCAACACATAGAGACATGATGGGTAACTTCTGAAGACATTTTTCATTTTCTCTATAGCTGTTTATTATCTTTTCCACTTAACTGAATAACTGACACATGAAACGTAAGGAAGTTGATAACTACCGTTGCAATACTGTCGCCTACTGAGGTTTTAAGGTTTCTTTTAGCCAGTTACCACAAAGAAACGCTGGCTATCTTGAGCTTGCCTGGTAGCCTAACCCTCAGTTTAACTAAAACATAGCTATTTTTCCTTTTTCATGCAGTATCAGACTCCTAAAGCAAAGTAAAATAACCCACTGCATTACAGACTTTATCAACTATTGTAATGCCACGACGAAAGAATACAAATACTGAGAGATTCCAGCAACAAGAAGGGACACAGTTTCTCCTTTTACTTCACAAGGCCGCGCATAAACAGCTGACCTTAAAAATGCAAGCTAAAACCATTTTGAGATTCTGGCAGTGCAAAAAAGCAGAAAATCTGCACCAGTGCAGTTTTATTTATGTTTTGTGACAGCATTTTTTTTCCTGAAGAGGTGTGCGGTTTCCCAGACAGCGTGATGGGTCCTGAAACAACTACCCAAAATAATCTTGGTGTCTGTGCAGACTTGCTGCATTCATGTTACCCTCAAGAAAAACCAAGTAAAACATGCAAATATAATCAGTGATGGTGCGACAAAGGACAACAAATGTAGCCGCGAGTGTCGTCGTTGGTGGCTTTGAAAAGTGCCGCAGCGTCACTTTCTCAACTGCTCACAAATGCATGCAGTGTGAAACTGGCGAGGAGTGTTACTTAGTCTCCGGCTCAACAGCCTTACGCACAGCAGGGGTGCAGGGTATAGCACACAGCCACGTTCGCTGTTTAGCTCGCCGCACTGCGCCGTCACCTCATATCTGACACCAGCCCAGAGGCTCACCTTTTTTTTTTAAACACCTGTTTTAATAGAGACTCATTGCACCTGCTGCTTTCTTCTGGATTCCCGTGACCAATAGCATGGCTCATTACAGACAAGTCTGAGTGAGTCACAGCGAGGCAGGCAGCCTGCTCGCCCTGCAGCCACTCTGCAGACAGCTTATTAGAGGAATTGTTGCCGTAGACACGAGACTTACCCTTCATTGTCACTTCCATGTAAATTAAACTCAATCTTAAAATTGAAAGTAGATTTTACAAGTGCAGAACGTCTCAGCGTAGTCTGGAAGCATCATATAGATTCTTACAGGAAGCTCTCTGGTCTGCAGTGTTGTGTTATTCTTATAAGCAGCAAAGGTTACATTATGAGTCATCGTAACGTAACCTTCATATTCTCTCTTTGTTTAGTTGATGTTTTTTGTTATGTGGCACAGGGAGAAGATGGAAAGCCGGGATCACCTGGACGTGACGGTAAAGCTGGGAAAGAGGTACGTGGTGGGTTTTATCAAATTTCGCTTCATTCCTTTCTACTTAAAGTGCTTAATACATTTATTAGAGAACTACTCAGGCTAAGGTTTATCACACAGCTGCCCTAAACTAACAGTAGTGGGAATTAGCAACCAGTATGTGCAGGTTTTTAACTTTAACA